CAAAATTTAGAAGTTAGAAATCGAGGATTAGAAAATGTACAAATGGGGAACTCTAATCGCGCCTTGGGTTTTAATAGGATTTTTACGCTTAAATTGTATGGCAAACCCAAGCTTTTTTAGCAATGATTTTTGCTAACTTGACTAATAAATAACATCATGCACTTAACCGCGCCACGTAGGATTTAATTATATAATTTTTTAATTAAATGACCATTAGTGTAACCATTAGAACTGTAAAAAATAACTTCAATGACCATTATCCTAATTACTCAAAACTTCAATCCTTTCGAATTTATATATTAAGGAAGTCATAAGATGATAAATTTAACATTCTAATTTGATCACTCAAATTTTAATAATGATATGAGAACATATGAAAAATAATAATAATTTGATTTAAGATTTTATAAATTTTTAGTGAAATACTGTTTATTATAGCATACACAAAAATACGATTTTGTTTTATTTTTTTAATTTCTGTAGTTGAGATTGGAATAAAATTTATAAATATTTAGGAAAAAAAAATAGTAACAAATAGTTGAATTTGCTTTGTTTCACATTATAATTTTCTTTGATTGGCAATATCTACATAATCTGAAATTTTTTCTTTACTTGTTTAGAGAAAAAGGGAGGTACTTTTTTAGGGTGTTAAGCGGAGTGAGTCGTTCGCCAGCTTAACTCGTCCCACAACTGAGGTAAACAGCGATTTTTGAGTGACTTGCACGAGTTGTCTCCCGAGTCAAACGATTCTACTTACTCCATTTAACCTCCCTAGAAATTTTGAAATACCTCATTTTGCCGTTCCTTGCAAGTTTTGCACCTGTCCACTTGAATTCATGACTTTAACATTACGAAATGCTATCCAAAGACCAGTTAGCCAAGAAGGATTGGTATTACCAACAATCTTGATTCAAGACGAAATGTTTTATCGACTGGGTCTTCAATTATTGTAGAATTTGTTGTATGTGTTAAGATTTGGGGTCCACTTAATAAGGTCAACCTTATGAAGAGGAGCGGTCCAAGATTTATTTAAGTTGGTCAATATTTCGGTATTTAACCGATGTGAGATTTATTTCCTTATCATGCCCCGCAAGATGGTGGCTCTTTTTTGAGCAGACAAATATTGAAATCTGTGTGCTCATTTTTGAAACTTAATCGGACCGAATAACTCATTAAAATTTACTGGGTTCTGATACCATGTTAAGATTTGGGGCCCGTCATAATAAGGTCAACCTTATTAAGAGGAGTAATCCAAGATCTATTTAAATTTGTCAATATTTCGATATATAACCGATTAAGGAATAAATCCCACATAAATACCGAAATACTCCATTTAACCTCCCTAGAAATTTTGATATACCTCATTTTGCCGTTCCTTGCAAGTTATGCACCTGTCCACTTGAATTCATGACTTTAACATTACGAAATGCTATCCAAAGACCATTTAGCCAAGAACGATTGGTATTACCAACAATCTTGATTCAAGACGAAATGTTTTATCGACTGGGTCTTCAATTATTGTAGAATTTGTTGTATGCTGACGTCAAAATTTATCAACAGCTAAAATTTGAAAGAATCTTAAATATTGCTATAGTTCTGTACTTATTGGTAGCATCCAGAAAGCATTTTCGCAAATTCGTTCAGTCTTACATTTGGGTTGTCGGTTCTTGTAGATCTCATCTAGAGATTCAATTCGATTCAAATATAAAACCAATCTCAAAATCATATTTCGACTTCCAACATTTTTCGAAGTTATTCTTGAGATTTCAAGATCCCAATAATCTTTAAGGATAATGAAAAGGAATTTATTTTCATTTATAGTTTGCAATTATAAGCTATTTGAGATTAATCGGGAGTTGAGAAATAGAAATCATAATTCTATACTATCGAGAGAAAAACTTATGACACAGAGAGTCAAATTCCTTACAAAGCAAAAGGATAAATGCCCGAATCCGTATTAGTTCAGAATATGATTCGTAAGAGGGGGAGCCGACAGCCGAAGCCATGATGGACAGAGGCCGTTAAATTCGAATTATCCTAACTCAGATTGTATAACAACTTCCGATGACTCGATATTTTAGTTTACATTGGCAGCCTCCATATTCCCCCTTATGCTCTAGCTTTCTTTTAGACTATTTTCTCTATCAAATCGGCCAGTTCTTGGATAGTTGTTATGTTCTCGGAGCTCTCTTCTTCCACGATAATGTCGAACTCTTCCTCCAGGCCCATAACTACTTCTACCTTCGCCAACCATACGATCAAATCCAAGAGTCAATCGACCAGCAAACATAGCAAAATCCAAGTACATTCTGATATGATATTATAGTGGAAGTTTTGGTGGACAAAATCTATAAAACAGACAATGTGACAAAAGCTGAATTCAAATCTCGCTGCCATCATTGTGATTAGTGAGTACAAAGTGCTGCTTATCGTGTCAAGTGAATCAGCACCAAGTTCAATAAATTTAGTATCAGGGGAGAGCTCTGTCTCGGCGGACAATGGCACTAACTTTTTGCATTGTTTTGGGCTTTGCCTGTCCATCCATACAAGTTTAAACAATACTCGATAAGAAATCTAGTTTTATTTCCAAAAAACCGTGGATGAGAAATTGTATAGGCAAATGAAGAAATAATTTTTGTTACTACGCAAGTGATTCGAGAGTGCCCAAGTCTCAGAGAAGGGAAACCAGCAATCCTAGCCCAACCCACTGAAATTAAACTTGCACTTACGTCTCCATAGGATCGACATGTTACATGTGTTCGTTAATATTGTACAAGGGCTCATGTTAAAGTCTTTTAGTATGAAAATTTTGCACGTATCAAGCCTTTAATCCAAAACAAATCTGCTTGACACGTGCAAGATGTGTTGAAAACTAAACTTAATGTGCCTTCATCTTGCAAACAAGGTGAACGAATTCCACAAATAAGCAATAATGAAATGCATAGAACTTGTTATATCTAATCCATAAGACCTTCCCAAATGTCCTACGTGGTTAGCAATCTTGGGGTCACGGGCCGAACCCCTTTTAGGAGTGATCGAGCCAATTTGTCTACCGACCCCCACTAGCTGACCCTATGAGGACGAGCTGAACTGCAGAGGAGGTGAGGCTGTCGAGGGAAGACAGAGCAAGATTCCTCAAAACCCATGGTATGTGATTGATGTGACAATTCATTGTCGTCGCCGCCACTTGTAAGCCTACCAGGTTAAGTCCAAAGGTGCAAGCTAGGCATTTTGGATAAAAATGTGATATTATCATTTAATGCTTATAATTAATTGACGTCTTGGACAAGAGACATCAGCTGCACAAATGGAGCCACGTGTCTCTTCATCTAATGGTTCTTACTCACCATCTTCTATTATTAAAGCTCACATTTGATATCAGTCAAAGTTAATGCATATTTAGACTCCAACACTATAACTTTGCCATATCACATTTCTATTTGTTACTTCCCAAAGCCGGCCTCCTTTTTATATTGAAGGCTCACATCTAAAACTCTCCCAAATGTCATGCCTTCCAAAGACTTGCCTGATTTTCAAATTATTTAGTGCAAATTCTATCATATACATTATTTAATCAAAATGAATGGTGTTTCCAACCAAATTACTGTGAACCAAATAAACAAAAGCCAATGCTTGCACTAAGGTAGTTTGATAAAAGAAAATATAGACAATATTTTGCACAACTGGTTGCTACACAAATCCATGGTGAAACTAAGATGTCTTCCTTCTCTAAAGTCATGCACTTTCAAATACATTAAACACATTTGCATTCCAAATAAGCATCGGCCTTAACGGCTTTTCCAAATAAAAAGCCCATTTCAAACAGTATATAAAATGCATGAAATTATTGTCTTAAAATTTTTAGAAAAAATTGACGTGCGTAAATTATATTTAAATAACATATCTTTTATGTGCATAAAATTGGATGGGATTTTGACTTGTCAAAATCGAATAGGTAAAGTAGAAATAAGAAATGCATGAATATGAATTTGATTAAGGTAAGAGTTCAATTCTTTCTCCTTAAGATGATAATGCCTCAGATGGATGCTAACGGTTTTTTTAGCATTCATCTCCCAAGACATAACGATCACGTCTCGCAATAGAAGCACTTCAAATTACGTAGATCAACGAACCTACTTATATTTTGAACTCTCGTTATATAAAACTTGACTCCAAATAAATATAGATTTTTGAATGAATATGCATTAACATGATAATGCAATCATGAAGTGAATGAATGAATGAAAACAAATACATGGGATCCATATATAGATGTTGAAAATGTTTGTCTCAAAAAACAAAAATCTATAAAAGAGACACATTTCTTGAAAAATGATAATGTCAAAAATCACAATTTTTCATTTAGAAATATACACATTTTCAGCAAAATTATTTCTAGAATATTCATAATATTCTACGTAATTCACATATTTAAATGACTTAAATTTATCTTAATTTTCCATTCACCAAATAACAATTTTCACTTAAATAATTAAAAATTGATCAAAACCAATTTCATACAGAAATTTGCAATAAACAGACTTCTAAAAGTATTTGGCTGCATCTAGATCCTTGGACATATTCAAATAGTGCGCTACACCCAATAAAAATATAGAAATTTGGATGGAATCTCAGTTTTGGCGTTCTTTTTACCATAAAGAACTCATAGAAAAATTGGATATTACTATAGTTGGGTGTGTTAAGTGAATATACAAACAATTAAATAAATCCATTCCTAGATTACTCTCCGTAATTTGATTTACAATCTGATTATTACCATCATGTTGCAGAACGCGATTTTACTTTCAGAACATGCACACAAAAAATTTTAAAAAAATAAAAAATAAAAAGTTTTTATTATTATAAAGGACTTAGTCAAAGTTGGTGCCCTGTCAAAGTTTGAATCACACGTTTTCGAAGTTTGAATATTCTAAGTTTTAATCTGATATATTGACATGTTTGAGTAATTTTTCCAAGTTTCAAATCCTGTTTATCAAAGAAAAAGTAGAAGCCTGCCAAAGAATAGTTGGCGCAGGCGTACCAGTTTCTTTCCTCCTAATTTTTATCTGCTCATTGACTTATATGTCTTGATTTCATATAGCCAATCTGAGCTTAAAATGTTTCTGCATATCGTCTGCTTGCTTTCGCTGGCGGTAGCACTCCCTTCAAATGTCGCCACCTCCCCTAAGCCTGGCTGCGAAAGTACATGTGGAAACCTACAAGTTCCATATCCATTCGGCATTGGAATCGGGTCGAATTGTTCTATGAGCTCAGACTTTGATATTTACTGCAATACTACTGACAACCCTCCAAGGGCCTACCTTACCCGTGCCGCTTCTCCCTTTGAGGTTGTAAAAATTTCAGAAACTAATATTTATGTTAAGAACTGGAGGCAGCAGCAGATTGTGGCATGTTATGCCTCGAGAGAGTATTTTTCGTTAGAAATAGACTACTTTGCTAATAGTCCATATACCTTGTCTGATGCAAATCAACTTACAGTCTTTGGTTGTGATGACTTGGCTATTGGACAGCATTTATCAAGCGATTCAAACTATTCTGCCTACGGTGCTGGTACATCTTGTGCGCCCTACTGTGAGAGTCGGGAAGTTTCCGGTGGTACCGGATCTTGTCCTGGCAATGGCTGTTGCCAGACCTCCATATCCAAAGGTAAAAAATTTATGATGACTCGCCTAATCAACATGGAGCGGAATTGGCAGCGACGCAAACTCTTTTCATGCAGCTTTCTATCCCTTGGAATGATGAACATAACTGGTTTCACTTTCCGTTTATCTGACCTCAATGATTCAACATTTCTAAATAAGTATCCAGCATTTACGGATATACCATTGGTCTTGGACTGGAGGATTGGATCCCAAAATTGCTCCGAAATGCTGAGTTCTAGTAGTTATGCATGCAAAGAGAACAGTTATTGTGATGATTCTCTTGCCGGTGTTCGAGGATATAATTGTAGGTGCATGAAAGGATACGAGGGCACCCCTTACCTTAGCCCTGGATGCCATGGTCAGTTTTACTTGTACTACTATTTAAGTAAAATCGTTTATTGTGCTCAGTGTAACCAGTCTAACAATCGTTTGTTGTGATGCTTGATATGATGCCAGATATTAATGAATGCAAGAATTCTCCATGCCACTCAAATGGGATATGCATCAATACACCAGGATCCTTTCATTGTTATTGTCCGAATGGTTATTATGGTGACGGAAGCAAAAATGGTGCTGGTTGTATACGGATGCCGGGATCCAACAGCAAAGTGGCAATAGGTAATTTTCGATTACATTTCTTTGCTTGTTAAATCTTCATTTTAAATGGGGTTCAGTTCCCCTGTAGAGGGAGGGACTCCAAGTCCATCAAATTGTATACGGCAGAATGATTTATCATTTATGTGTAAACACGTTATCTTCATTTTTTGGCACTTTAGCCTCCGTATGAAAAGAATTTATGAATGGAATTTTATGGTGTATAAGTCAATAGAACTTGTGGATCCCTTGAAATGTGTGTTTGAAAAAATTTATAAATGATTTTTAAGTTTTGCAAAACAGGGGCTTAATTACATCTTGGCTTTTCAGATGGATCAATATGCAATTCTTGGTCATATCTATTAGGATATATTTTAACATTGTATAAAAGCTTTTATATTAATTAAAACATTTAGTGTTTAATGTTGCTTTACTTACAAACAACTTGAAAATTGTTAATCATTTAACTAACCATATGTTAAAACTTCAGGGGCAAGCTTGGGTGCAGGAATGGGATTTCTCCTACAACTATTGACTTGCTTCTGGTTGCTTAAATTTCTGAAAAAGAGGAAGAACAAAAAGCAAAAAGAAGAATTCTTCAAAAGAAATGGTGGCCTTCTATTGCAGCAACAAATATCAAAACATGAAGATATACTTGAGAAAACAAGACTTTTTACTGCTAAAGACTTGGATATGGCCACTGATCACTTCAATGAAAGCCGAATACTTGGCCAAGGAGGGCAAGGGACAGTTTATAAAGGTATGTTATCTGATGGAAAACTTGTAGCAGTGAAGAAATCTAAGTTGGTAGATGAAAACCAGGTGGAGCAGTTCATTAACGAGGTTGTCATACTCTCAGAAATCAATCAAAGGAATGTAGTAAAGCTATTGGGATGTTGTTTAGAAACAGAAGTTCCTTTGCTAGTGTATGAGTTCATTTCAAATGGAACCCTTTTTGATCTCATCCATGATGATAGTGCTGAGTTCCCCTTTTTATGGAACATGCGCTTAAAAATTGCAGTAGAAGTTGCAGGGGCACTTGCTTATCTTCATTATGCAACTTCCGTTCCCATCTATCATAGAGACATTAAGTCTAGCAACATACTTTTGGATGAAAAGTATGTATCAAAAGTTTCAGATTTTGGAACTTCAAGATCAATTGAAGTGGATAAAACTCATCTAACTACTTTGGTGAAAGGGACATTTGGATATCTTGATCCTGAGTACTTCCAGTCCAGTCAATTTACAGAAAAGAGTGATGTATATAGCTTTGGAGTTGTTCTTGTTGAGCTCTTGACTGGAAAAAGACCAATTTCTTCCGATAGAACTGAAGAGGAAAGGAGTTTAGCGACTAGATTTTTGTTGTGCATGGAAAGAAACAATCTTGAAACAATTCTTAACTCCCAAGTTTTAGAGCAAGGTAAAAGAGAAGAATTGACTGCCGTTGCAAAAGTTGCACAAAGGTGCTTAAATTTGAATGGGAAAAACAGGCCAACTATGAAGGAAGTAGCCATGGAGTTGGAGAGTATTAAAATGTCTCAAACGCTTTCAACCTCTGTAGAAACAACATTTGAAGGAGTAAGGCTTCTCAATGGAGAATTAGCAATGCTCCCGGATGCTGACTACACGTGGACAAGTATTTCTGAGAGCACCTTCACATCATCCGACGTCACTCCATTTATGACTAAAACATTTTGATTTTAAATAGCATTTATAGGCAACAAGAAGTAGATCTTTCTACCATACGTAGGCATTTCTAAAACCATTGTAGCTCTAATAAGCATACAGTTTGTGATTTTTAATGGTTTCTATGTTATGAGGTAGCGGATCTTTCAGATTATGTGATCTTTCAGAACTATTTCCTCGTTTGCTGTAAAGTCAAATTTTATCGATTCTCCAATGTAAGTTCATTTCCATATCAAATAGAGACATTCATCTCTCTCTCCCTCCCTCCCTCTCTCTTTATGTTCAGGTAAATAAATTTGTATTGATCAAAATTGTGAGTATAACTACTCTTGTCACACTCAAGCATTCAAAGTAAAACATTACAATGATCCAATGATCTAGTAATCCAAACCAAGTGACGGAATATGAATCAAAACAGTACAAACTTGGCTAACCTGGAACACGAAGTGTCAAACTATTGATGGTAACAAATCCTCTTGGAGTGGATGGAAATGAGTCGATCAATTGGACTTATAAGACAATGCTGGCCAAAATCCCAGCTTCAAGTAGTTTAAGATCTTCAAAGATGCCCTTCGAAAACTTGACCTATTGGTGAAGGGCAACTTGTATTATTGGCAGCAAGTGTAGCCAATAAGGGGTTCCAAATGCTACATGAAGCAATCAACAATGCTGAATGCTGGATAGTTGTAGGGTACAATTACTTTCCCAAACAGTAAAACGAGCTTAACCATGATCCTGAATTTTCAGTAGCATACCAGGCTGTTGACATAGATTCAAAATTCTGTCAATCTGGCATAAAAGCTCGTTGCAGCATGTCCTTCTAACACTGTGTCAGCTAATATAGTAGCATGTAGGTGCAGTGATGCTACATGTAGTAGTGTTGGAAAATTACATCGATATTGTGCATATTATATTCACAAAAATATACGGTTAATGTTCACAAAATCGAAACATAATTTCGACTTACTGAAATGGATTTGAGGTGCAAAACAATAACAGTTATCAAATCCGAGTGTATGGACATCCCTTTCGATTCTTGAACGAAAGCAAGTCATTCTTTGGATCGAATCTTGCACCTTAAACATATAAATAATTTTAAACATATTCTGAAATCAAGTGTAATTAAAAGAAATCAGAAAATGAAGAAAGAAAATGCAAGTGATGGATTTTGGCCGAGGCAAGCACTAGACACTTTCTCTTTAAGATGAATTTTCCCCGTATCAATGCTAACGATTTTCCAGCAATCATCTCCCAAGATACAACGACGATGTCTATCTTATGCGAACCCCGTAGCAACGTTGACTACGAAACCCACAACGAGATTGACGAACCCAAAAAAGTCATATTAATCCAAGAGTTTAGGATTAACCCAAAAGAAAGTCGAACCAAAAAACCCAACAAGAACGATACTTGAAAGATCCCCTTGATCGCGCAATCCAAGAATTAAATCCAGTTGTTTGAACGCCACAAGTTAACACTTGATAAGTTCGAAATTGTTCAACGAAGAACGATGAAGAGAAGACAATACGCCTCACTTTTAATTCAATATCAAATATGTCAAAAGTTTTTAACAATTGAATGAAAACTCCTATTTATACTAAACCTAAAAACTAGGTAAAAATCGTGCAAAAGTCGACCTAGAATAATTAGGAATAGAAAAGAATTAAAAACTAACAAAATATGGAAAAATACCAAAAATAGGAAATTCGCCAAAAAAATGGTCTATGCGACCGCATAGTGTATTTCCATGCAGTCACATGGTTCAACCAAAAATCTCATCTTGAGTTTCGGTATGCCTCCATGCGGTCGCATGGTGTTTTTGCCTGTGCAGTCGCACAGGCTTGTTTTCAGCCTCCGACTTCGTCGCTTGATAACAAATTAATCCAAATTGATTCGGCCTTCGACCCGAACATGAAAGTTGCTCCATTTTGAGTCTCGAACATGGTTCCATCAATGGTTTCTTGAACGAGCAATCCCATCGCTTGTTTCACTTGCTTTGCCCTTGATCACGTCATTGGTCCGCCATCGACTATCAATGGATCTCGTCTCGCACTCGCCTTCGTCAGGCTCGACTCCTGGATCATATTATCCTCTCTCTCTTCAAAAAGATTCGTCCTCGAATCTGAACCTAGATCAAACAGAGTGAGATCAGATACATTAAAAGTAGCCGAAACATTGTACACACCTGGAAGGTCCAACTTGTAAGCATTGTCGTTTATCTTTTCAATCACTTGAAATGGTCCATCGTCCCTCGGTTGCAACTTGGACTTCCTTTGCTCTGGAAATCGCTCCTTCCTAAGGTGCACCCAAACCCAATCTCCTGGCTCGAATGTCACGTGCTTCCTACCTTTGTTCGCTTACGACGCAACCAACTTACTTTCGTTTTCAATTTGCGCTTTTACCTTTTCATGGAGTGACTTAACCAATTCCATCTTCCTTTTGCCATCTAAACTACCATGTTCGTACACAGGTAAAGGAATTAAATTCAAAGGAGTTAGTGGATTAAAACCATATACAACTTCAAATGGAGAATATGACGTAGTAGAGTGAACAGCTCGATTGTATATAAATTCAACAAATGGTAGACACTCCTCCCAACTCTTCAAATTTTTATTGATTACTGTGCGTAACAATTGTGTCATAGTCCTATTCACTACCTCGGTTTGCCCATCCGTTTGTGAGTGACAAGTTGTAGAAAATAGTAACTTAGTGTCTAACTTACCCCACAAAACTCTCCAAAAGTGACTCAAAAATTTGACATCCTGATCCGACACTATGTTTCTAGGAACCCCATGTAAACGCACGATCTCTTTAAAGAACAAGTCGGCAATGTTCGTGGCATCGTCAATTTTGTGATATGGTATAAAATGTGTCATTTTGTTGAATCTATCTACAACAACAAAAATAGAATCCCGACCTCTCTTAGTCTTAGGTAAACCCAAAACAAAATCCATCGAGATATCAACCCAAGGCTCACTAGGTGTAGGTAAAGGTGTGTACAAACCTTGAGATAAAACTTTAGATTTAGCCTTTTTACAACCTATGCATTGACTACAAATTCACTCAACATCACTTTTCATCTTAGGCCAATAAAAATGCTCCGTCAATACATCTAAAGTCTTTTGAACCCCAAAGTGTCCCATCAATTCACCACTATGTGCCTCCCTTACCAACAACTCCCGAATAGAACAATTAGGAATACATAACCTATTTTCCCGAAATAAATATCCCTCATGCCTAAAGAACCTATCAACCGCCCCTTTTATGCATGACAAATAAATATTTGAAAATTCAACATATTTTTCATACAATTCCTTAATATGTTCAAACCCAAGTAGTTTAGAATCAAGAATAGTTAGCAATACGTACCTTCGCAACAACGCATCCGCCACCACATTTTCCTTACCTTGTTTATACCGAATGACGTATGGAAAAGTCTCAATGAATTTCGTCCACCTTGCATGCCTCTTGTTCAATTTACTTTGTCCCCACAAGTGCTTTAGTGACTCATGATCGGTGTGTATTTCGAACTCCTTCGGCCATAGATAATGTTGCCAAGTCTCCAAAGCTCGAACAAGTGCATAAAGTTTTTTGTCATATGTAGGATAATTTAAAGCAACTCCACTCAATTTCTCGCTAAAGTATGCAATAGGCCTTCGATCCTGCATTAAAACTGCTCCAATCCCTATTCCTGATGCATAACACTCAATCTCGAATGTTTTATCAAAGTTAGGTAATGTCAAAACAGGTGTTTCACACAATCTACCTTTAATAGTATTAAATGCAAGTTCCTATTCATCACCCCAATGAAAACCTACACTCTTTTTAACTACTTCCATGAGTGGTGCGGTGATAGTGCTAAAATCTTTCACAAATCACCTATAAAAACTAGTCAAACCATGAAAACTCCTAACTTTCGTTATGCTTTTGGGTGTCGGCCAATCTCTAATAATTTTTATCTTTTCATCGTCTACTTCTATTCCATTAGCACTAACCACAAAACCAAGAAAAATAACTATATCCATACAAAACGTGCATTTCTTCAGATTAGCATAGAGTTGTTCTTTCCTTAAAATAATTAACACACACTTTAAATGTTCCAAATGCTCTCCTAGGCCTTTGCTATAGATTAAGATGTCATCAAAATAAATCACAACAAATTTTCCTATAAAAGCACGTAAAACATGATTCATTAAACGCATAAAAGTGCTAGGTGCATTTGTGAGTCCAAACGGCATAACCAACCATTCATATAAATCATATTTAGTTTTAAAAGCCGTTTTCCATTCATCACCCTCCCGCATACAAATTTTATGATACCCGCTTTTTAAATCAATTTTAGAAAATATACAAGCACCATGTAATTCATCAAACATGTCATCTAACCTAGGTATAGGGTGATAATACTTTACCGTTATGTTGTTGATAGCCCTACAATCTACGCACATTCGTCATGTTCCATCTTTTTTTGGCACAAGCAAAACCGGTACCGCACAAGGACTCATGTTTTCCCTCACGTATCCTTTGCTCATCAACTCCTCTACTTGCCTTTGAAACTCCTTAGTCTCCTCGAGATTACTCCGATAAGCTGGTCGATTTGGAATGACAAATCCGGGTATGAAGTCAATTTGATGTTCAATGCCTCGAATAGGCGGCAATCCACTTGGTGCATCCTCCGGAAATATATCGTCGAATTCTTGCAACAAAGACTTAACCAAACTAGGGAGGGGTGGGTTAGATTCCTCAAAATTGTGGAGTGATTCCTTATAAACGAACAAGATCATCTCTTTTCTCTCAACTACCGCCCTCCTCAAATCACTCTCTTTTGCAAAGAAATTCGCTCGTGTTTCTCTCGGGGCATTCTCTTTCTTTTCTCTCTTGTGATTGCTCTCTCTTTTTCTCTCTAATGACTATCTCAGCATTTTCTCTCTTTTTCTCCAACTCACTATTTGCTCTCATTTTTTCTAACTCTTTTGCTCTCCTCTCTTCTCAATTTTAATTGGTCCTCATAGACTTGCGCCGGTGTTAATGGCACAAGAGTAATGGTCTTTCCATCCTTAATGAAATTATATTGATTTTTGTACCCATCATGCATAGACTTCCTATCGTATTGTCATGGTTGCCCCAATAAAATATGTCACGCTTGCATTGGCACCACATCACACACTAACACGTCCTTATAACTCCCAATTGACAAATTAAGTAACACCCTTCGATTCACCCTTACCTCGCCACTCTCATTCAACCATTGCAATTTATAAGGTC